CGCGGAGCGGCTGGGCCTGTGAGCCATGGCTGCTGAGCCTGCACGTCTGGAGCCTGTGCTCCACAACGGGAGAGGCCACAACGGTGAGAGGCCTGCGTACCGCAAAAAAAAAAAACAAAAACAAAACCCTAACCTGCTTATGTTTTCCAGTGATTAGAGTGAGATTTATGTTGAGGGTGGGAAGAAAGGTACTCAATAAATGAATGTTTGGTATTTGTTACTTTTAGAAATCTTCCTAAAGATTGATGAATCAGTCAATCTTCATGTGTGTGGTATATGTTGAAACCTCAGGAACTCTCCTAGTTCTAATAAAAAGCAATTGTTCAAGAAGAACTTGGCTATTGGTTTTCAACCGTGGTTTTTTTTTTTTTTCATTTGAATAACATTCAGAGATACTCGTCCTCTGAAAAATATTATGAAACTAAAGTGCGGATCGGTGATGTTTTTCCCCTTGAGGACAGTAGAAGTAAGTTCAGGGGCTCTCTGATGTACCCAGCATGCTGCCAGGGAAGGCTGCTCGGCCCCCATCACGGTGCTCATTGCTCCTAACTGTCCACCTACCTCATCACCACTGGCACCAGCCGTCATCTCTGGAGAGATGCTCAAGGCCACACTTCCTCCTGGAGGAAGCTAAGGTCTCCGGAGCCGAGACTGGGAAAACTCTTGGCCATCTCTCTAAGCAAACTTCATGTGAGGAGCCAGACCATAAGCCTCTGAGATCTAGGAGGAGAACAGAACTGGGGCTGCTTGTTGTTTTTTCTTTTCATATCTGCAAAATCATTCCAAAAATCATAACAAAACATAATGCGGTTTTTTTCTTTGGAAATACTGTCTTAGAATGATGAAAAAAATACTTAAAAAAAAACAAAAGCCAGCAGCCCATTGAAATCATATGGGTGGAGATTTTGTGATGATTGCCCAGCTTTCCACTGCCTTTGAGAAGGTAAAGGTCTGTGGTGGTAATTATGTCACGAACGCATGCAATGGAGAAAGTCTACGTTGCCACACAGGGAGATGGTTTTTATTATTGTCACTAAAACAGACTAACCAATTCTTACAAATATTCTTTTCCTTTGGGTGTTGCTGCATAGTGCTAGCTTTGTACGTAAGGGTCTATTGTTCCTTGTTTCATAGTAAGAGCAGAACCTTCTGAAAAATAGGGCATTGAGAAATTCTAAAATATTCTTTTCCTTATATTTAGGAAATCAGGCTCACTTCATAGTCTACATCAGGGTCAGTCTCTTCTCAGAGGTTTTAAAGATTAGTTTCTCATTTACCTTTTTAAGTTCCCTTGCCTTTTTAACTTTCAAACATTATACAAAAGGTAATACACATTTGGGAAAGTGTTTATCCACTTTAAAACTTTAAAATGGGACTTCTCTGGCGGTCCAGTGGTTAAGACTCTGCGTTTCCACTGCAGGGGGCACAGGTTCCATCCCTGGTCGGGGAAGTTCCAAATGCCTCATGGTGTGACTTTAAAATGTACTCGGTACCTATCACTTACACCATTCACATCTGCTTCTAGGAAGGAGCAGAGAAAGCTAACAATAAAACACTATTATAAGAATACTGAAGAGACTAGGAGTAAATTGAAGGCAAGAGGGAGAAAGATAGTTACAGCAGGAAATGTAAGATAATGACTTCCTTTGAGAAGACAGCCTGGCACCCAACTTCCTAGACAAAAAGGAAACATAGTAGACCCTGGTGAAATGCAAATGCCTTTTTTCCCCTACATTCTAAGGGCTATTGCAATATGAAACATCATGTCCAGATGGGATCTAATTGATTATATGTTAGGATTTTAACAACTTTTGTGCGTGTCGATGGATCTGAATCGTGAGTTTTAGTCAAAATCAATCTGTCTTGAATCAGTAAACAAGGAAGGAGACGGTGGGGAACATTTCCTTGCATGAAGACATAGGCATCCTTGTCACCATCAAACAGAAAGGTCAGAGCCAAGAAGATTGAGGAATTCACCACGAGGCTCTTACATTTTATTGAATTAACAATCTTTGCATCAAACCCTTACCAGACATTAATATTTAAATGTTCTTCTTATCTCTAGTGCTACCAGTGGTTGAAGGAAAGGATTGTGAGTGAAGAAGGGAGAAAACAGCAAAACAAGCTGAAAGACCTTTCCCCGATTGCGGAGCGTCTGGGATGCACGCTACCTCAGCTAGCCGTGGGTGAGAAAGTTACTTGGGAGGGGAAGCCTTGCTGGATCACGGAAAATGAAATCATTCTCTATTGCTGCTCCACATCTCTTGCATGATAACATACCTATTGCAGGGGCAGATGGTCTCTGAAGCATAGACTCCTGGTTCATACTATCTAAAATGAGACACAGCATTAGATAGGTTTTTCAGAGTTCCCTAGAGTGGTTCCACATGCTGAAACACTTTTCTTACTTCCTTCTCCTTTCCCTTATAACACAGTTTAAACAAGAACACGTCAGTGAAAACGCACACATCCTCACAGTGTCAAGGGTGAGCACCCCTGAGCTGTGTAGTGACATCCGTTGCTTCTGGTTCAATTTTCCATCCCCGTCGAAGGTAAGGCGGGGTTGGTGAGTGGCTGAGGAGCAGGGCTGCGAGCGTGGCCAAGGCTACTGCCACATGGAAGGCCTATCCCATGGGAGCAGCGTCACCGTGAAACTTCCTGAGCCACGACAATGGCTCTTCCGACATAGTGGAGTCAATGAAAGGTCACGGTCACGGGTAACAATTGAAAGCCACGTTGCACCAGAACCGTCCTGTAGAAATATAATGTGCACCATGCGTTTAATCTTTAAATTTCCAGTGGCCATATTAAACTAGTAAAATGGAAATAGGTGAAATTAATTTTTAAATGGATTTTATTTAACCCAGTATAGCCAACATATTATCATTTTTAACATGTAATAAATATAAAAAGTTACTGAGATATGTCACACTCTATTTTTCATACTAAGTCTTCAAAATCCAGAGTGTATTTTACACCTACAGCACATGTCAATTCAGGCTAAACACATCTCCTGGGTTCAATAGCCACAAGTGGCTAGAGACTAGGGATTAGACAGAAAAGCATTTAAACTTTCAGTTCCCTTGCTGGAGAGTATCTGCCAGGCTCTGTGATGAGCTCTTTAATGCTCATCTTGTCTCCTTAATCGTGGGTCCCACGAGGTGTATACTAATCGAGGTGATACTAATCGTAGCCCTATCTTACAGATGTTAATGGAGTTTTGCTACTATTATCTCCACTTTACAAATGAAGAAGAGGCTGAAGAGAAAACAATTCATGTGGTAGCTATGAGAAAAGAATAAAATGGGTATAGAGTCTAGAAAAAACTCCTAAGGATTAAGAAATAGCAGGAATTGGGACAAATCAGATACAGTGAGCCAACGAGATAAAAAGCTCAAGATAAGTTCTATGCAAATAAAATAAAAGAATATTTGTTAGATACTTGACTCTTCTGAGGCTGGAAGGCAGGAAAATGGTAGCTGCAGTTAATAGTCACAGAAAGATGGAAATGGGAGACGGTTTTAGGAGGGAAATACCAGTTACCTAAGTATATGTGTAACTATTGCTGTAATCCTTTCTTCCAAAAAACAAAAAAACAAAGATTATATTTAATGTGATTAGTTAGCATCGCTGCTACTGTGGCTTTAATGAGCCCAGTAAAAGGTATTAGCTGTCGACCATTAGCAAGTTATTTAACCTGATTATCAATTTTCTCATCTGTAAAATGGGTATAGTAGTATATATCTTACAAACTTGTTGAGCAAAAGGAAATTATGTATGTAAAGAAAAGAGTAGGTGCTCAGTAACTGGTGAAGATGAGGATGAAGATGATGGTGTTTTTGCAAAGAATTAGACACCCTCTGCTGAAACTCTGTCCACTCCTAGCTGTCATATATGGTCAGAGGCACAAGCACAAAGAGAAACACCTATTCTTAAACCATAGCCATAAATACAATCTTTAGGTGGTAACAAGAAAGCAAGTATTGAATCTAGCTCTGAAAGAGATAGAAGAACACTGTCTTTCTAAAGAGAAAATCTTTACAACATTTAGACTTTCACTGGATGTCAGATGTACATGACTCTTTACAGAGTCTGAGTTTAAATTAAAACATGCTTTGTTTCTCCTTTTCCTCCCTCTGTGCCCCCAGATGTCTTTCTCCCCTGTCATTTTTTTCTTTTCTTTGTAAACAGGTAGTTTTGTTTTTAACCACAGAACTCTCAAACCAAGAGGGAAATTATTTCCAGGCATATTACCTTTGATCTGCTAGAAGCGTGTCGGGGGAGGGGAGATCCTCGGGCAGGAAACAAACTACTTCAACCCAACTGTGGGCTGGTGCCCGTGTCTCACGCCTGCACAGGAGCCAGCATTCACACCTTGCTCATAGACACTCTGGATGTGCCTGTGGGGGACACTTGAGTAGATGCTAATAATCTGGAATCATCTACGTTACCTCTGGCATTGGCCAGCTCTACCCAGTGGGTTCTCCTACATGGCCCAGCAGCCCGTGGGGGAATCATCTGTTGCTGGCATCAGGTAGTTTATGGGCAATAATTCTCTCAGTGCCCTGCTTTGCCCTCAGAACTTCCACTAGTGCCAAAAAAGAGTTCTAAGTGCAAAGTAGGAAATGAGGCAGCCAAAAAAAGAAAATAGAAAGAAAAAGCCCAGGATCACTTGGCTTGTTGCCTTCATAGAGCATTATTTTTCCCACGTGGAAGGATTTAGTGATTGCCTTAAAAGGTCTGACTGTGGCAACAGCTTAACAGTATCAGTTGACAGCATGGCCTGACCAAATGGGGGCAGAAGAAGAGGTGTTCAGGGATGTCCATCAATCATCCATGTCTCCGTTTATTCAACAAACATCTAATGAGCACCTACTATGCGCAGGTGCTGGGCTGGGTGCTGAGCATCCAACTGCAAATAACACACATCTCACAGTCTGGTGGGCAAGTCAAGAAATTAACAGATAATTTTAATATAGTGTGAGAGTAAAATAATTGAGAAGGGCAGGGTGGGCCGGGGGCAGGGGTGGGGGGTGGGTTTGGAAGTAAAATGTAGGAGCTCCTAACCAGGCCTGGGACTCAGGGAAGGACTTTAGGAGAAGGCGGTGCCCACGAGGAATCCCAGATGATGAGTAGATATTAGTGAGGCAAAGGAAGGGAGGAGGCAAAGGGACATTCCAGACCCAGGGGACCGCTTGAGCCAAGGGCTTGGGGAGGAGAAACACAGCGTGACATTTGGGGCTGGAGAGGATTTACAAATAGTGCTGTTGGAGCACCAAGTTCAAGGCACGAGTGAGGAGACCGGAAGCTGGAGTGGAGGGCTTTCTAGTGAGGTTTGTCAGGGTGAGAAGTGAGAGCTTCACCTCACAGGACCAGGATCCCGTCAGGCACACGCTGAAGAATGTTTAGCAGGCAAGTGACTTGAACAGATTTGTATCTGGAGAAGCTACTGCTGGATGTGTGCGGGGTAGGCAGGGAGAATCCAAACAAGATGTAGGAAAACCAGTTGTGCAGGAGAGACGGTGAGGGCCTGAGGGAGTGGACAGTTGAACCAGAGCAGTGATTCTCCAAGTGTGTTCCCATATCCACACACTGGAATACTATTCCGCAGTAAAAGAAATGATATACTGACCCATGCTATAACATGGATGAACCGCACACAGACATTATGCTAAGTGAAAGAAGTCAGACACAAAGACGTACTCCATGATTCCATTTAGGTGAAACGTCCAGAAATAATAAATCCATAGGGGCACAAAGTAGATGAGTGGTTTCCTTGGGTTGGGGGTAGAAATGGGATTAACTGCGAATGGGTATGAAGGATCTTATTGGGATGATGGGAATGTTCTAAAACTGGATTTTAAATGGTGATGATTGCACACATGATAAATTTATGAAAAATTATTGAATTGTACACCTAAAATGGGTACATTTTACCTCAATAAAGTTGTTTAAAAAAAAAGAGTACCTGTACCGGCTGCATCAGCATCACCTGGGAACTTGTCAGAAATGCAGATCCTCAGGCCCCACTCCAGACGTTCTGGGTCAGAAATGCAAGGTGAAGCACTGAGTAATCAATGTTTCACAGGCCCTCCAGGTGACTGAGGCATGCTAAAATTTGAGAACTACTGGATTAGAGAAATATTTAGGAAGGACAATCAACTAGATGACAATTAAAAGGGAATGTGGGATCAGAAAAGGACAGTGCCCAAGGATAACTCCCAGGTTTCTGGTTTGGGAGGCCAAGTTACTGGTGATGCCACCAAATGAGATTGGTAACCCAAGAGGGACAGGCTTATTAGTTAAGTAGCAAGAAGTTCACAGTGGCTGTGGGGTGTCTAGCAGGGACATCCAGCAGACACTGCATCCCTGGGCCTAGAGCAATATCTAGTTCCAGGCAGGTACAAACTGCAAAGTCTACTTGAACCACAGGGAGTTTCCTGGGCACCCTGGCTTCTGACATGGTGAGAAGAGGACTGGGATGTAAGGGGGATGCAGGGAGTCTCAACTGGCCTCTTACAAGTTTAAGAGGAGGAGAAGGGTAGGGTGGCAGCTACACAGGTATGAAGGGCCTGAGGAGGCTTATTTTAGAATGGGAGAAATTTGATTATGCCTTCTTGATAAAGAGAAAGAGGATAGTAAGAAATCAAACATCCAGGAGAGCAAGAGAGGGGGAGAAATAATGGATGAATCAAATCCAAGAAAAGGCAAAAGGAATGGGACCAGGGCAGAGTTTGGCTTTGAACAGACAGCACCCCATAGCCTCTGAAACTGGAGTATGTGTGTGTGTACTTATGTCCATAGGTGAGTGGGAAATTAAGGAATATGCTACCTGAGGGACTCAATTTTCTACATAAAGTAGGCAGCTAGGCCATCTGCTGAGAGGGAGGAGGCCTGGGTTGAAGAGGGTTTAAGGGTAGAGGTTGCTAGAGGCAGAGGAGGGGTGAGGGGTTTGAGGGCTGGTGAGAGAGATGGTCTCCCCAGAATGAACCTCGCGTCAGGAAGAAAGGCAGGTCCAGAGAGGGCTGACAGGTCAGTGGAGACGGAGGACCCAGGTACCCAGAATCTACACGGACTCTATGTAACAGATGAGGGGAAAGTGAGAGCATGAATGAGATGGAAAAGACAGATGCAAACAGGAATCCAGACGTTCGCCCAGGAGCAGTGTCAGGTGTCTTCAGGAACAAGACAGTGTTCCTGGGCTGGGCAGCTAGACTGGATGCCCCAGTTGCGGGGCAGAGGAGCCCTAAGCCCACAGTTCACGTGCACAGATTCTACTGAGTCCTCCACACAACAGGGGTTGCTGCTGACGTTTTTAATCCTGGAGCATGCTGTCCATCCTCCCCCCAAATTAATATGTTTTGGTTGTGACAACGGAAGCTACAAATGGTGTGTGCAGACTCATCAACAGTCAGAAGTGCTTTGACTTCCTGACCTACTGCTCTCTCTTCCCAGCGTGGTGCCTGAGAAATGAGGGTGTGAGTTCCGTGCTCCTGGGATCATCCACTCCTGAACAACTCATTGAAAACCTCGGTGCCATTCAGGCAAGTACTGCAGCCCTTTCCAACCAACTCCAGGGAATTTCCTGGTGCCTTTGAAGATGCCCCCAGGCAGTGTCCCATCTCCCCACCTCTGTCCTTCATTGTGTCACAGCTGAGTTGCATGAAAGCCCCTAATATAGGGAATAGGCTACCTGTTCCTAGATAGGGGAAGAAGGGAAATGGGGACAAAGGCAAAAGAAGCAACAGAACTTTCACAGTATGTGGATCCAGGGATGTCCTCTTCTGATTAACAGGCAGTCTCCTCCGGGCTCATTTCTCAGGATGGCTTGTGTCTGTGGGACAGTGTATTCTATGACCCAAGCAATGTTACACCTGACGACTGGGTTCCCAGGTCGAACCACACAAGCCTGCCTAATAACCAGCTTGAAATGTAGTAGCCGTAGGACAATATCCACACATCATGTATTTACTTTTTTCCCCACAAATATTTATTGCCAATCTACAGTGTGCCAGCCCCCTCATTTCTGCTCTCCTAGCATCCTGGATCTCTCTCCCCATCACAGCACTTACGACAATGTAGTATAATCGCCTGTCTCCCCTGAGGTCAGAGACTTGTGTCTTTCTTGCTTCTCCACTGATTTTCCGGTTCCTAGACTCTATGGCCCTTAGTCAACACTCAAGAAATACCTATTGAATGAATGAATGTTTGCCACTTTTAAGACAAATAGGCTCAGAATTCCAGGATCACATCTCCCTAACAGCAATTTCAGGAGTGCCCACCCCCATTCCCTCCCCTGCAGGGATTGCTAGGCCTGGAGGGAGCCTGCAGCTGTACCTGGAGAGCCTGTAAGGCAGCAGGAGGGGAAGTGGGAGAGAGATGTTCCTGGGAGTTCTAAGGAGAGGGTGGAGGTTGGTGGCTGTGGTGACCATCCCCTGCCCCCAAAGGTCACATCTCAGTCCTGAGCCTGCCCCACTCTCAGCCCAGCCAGAGGCTGCAGGAACGAGCCCGTCCACAGCTCTTGCCGTAGCTGTATCACCTGCCCAAACACAAGTGCCTCACAGCTTCTCCCCTGTCCATCTGTCCCCGAAACCAGCACTTAGCCCTGTTACCTCTCCCAGAAGGAAGTAGATGGAGGTGGGGACAAGCTTGATTAAACTTAAAACTTTTAAAAATCCTTTTGAAGAATAGCCTCGAATATGCTGGCAGATAAACGGTGCAGACCTCCTTCTCTACCGTCACCTTTCTTAGGGCTGTGCAGCTGGGTAATCATCTCTGCCTCTCAGCTTCTGAGAATTCCTCCCAGATTGTGGGGTTCCCTGTCCCTGCCTGGGGAATGCTCCCTCTTAAGAAAGCCTCCCCACCTTCTCTTATTTTCACTTGTGCTCTGGGAACAGATAAAGGCTCCACAATGACGAGGAGGAAACGGGAACAGTCTATACACAAAAGAACTGAAATGCAACCCAGTGATTTCAATTCCACTAATACTCATTGAGTACTTATTCTGTGTCTGGCACCATGCTAGGCAGAGAGTGTTCCGAGATAAGCACAGGACGGTGCCCTCGAGAGCTCACGGGCTGCCTGAGAAAGCGGGAATTAAGATTCACTCTTCTATCCCGTGGTTCATTCAGGAGATCTCTGAGAGCTTACTCTGTACTCAGCACTGGGGACACCACAGGAAACCAGAAAGATATTACCCAACCTTCAAGGAGCTTATATTCCAGTGGCAGAGGCACATGATAAAGAAACATATAAAATAATTTCAAGTGAGGTTTACTAAGTAAATAAAGATGGTATTGTAATAGAGACTAACTGGGAAATGAGTGAGCCCACTTTAGATAATGTCCTTGCCGAAAGCTCCTCTGGGATATGCTTATTCTGAAGCCTTCAAGTGGAGGATGCAGCGCGTGAAAAGCCCTGGAAGGAGCAGACACACAGAAGAGCAGTGCAAAGGCCCTGAGACGCAGACGCACTTGGCTTTTTCCAGGAAGCACCAGCCTAAGGCGAATGTGGTCAACATGCAGTGAGCATAAAGGATGGTGGGCGCGGGCAGGGGACAGGTCACACGGAACACTAGAGAAGTCAGAATTCTGTTCTACTCACAGCAAATCCTTTGGAGGGTTTTAAGAGGAGGGACACGCTGTTATTTGAATTTTTAAAGATTGCTTTGGCTGTTGTGTGAAAAGCAGAATGAAGAAAGGCAAGGACAGGTTGTCCGGGTGACGGGTGATGGTGGCCATGAAGGTCAAGGAGTCCGTAGGTTTTGGAAAGAGAGGCATGACTTGCAGATGGCTTGGCAAGAAAAAGGATTCCTGTCAGCTAATAGAGTGATCGCTGCCATTCCAAGGGGGGACTCATACTGCCTGGGACGGTAAAAAAGAAAAAAGGTAGTTCCTGGGCTGTGGCAATACTCCAGGTAGCCAAAGATAACATTTCAGAGGAAAACTGAGGCAGTCATCTTGCCAAAGCACTTCCTCCCTAGCAAGGCTCTGGCTGGTAGCACGATGGGGCTTCCATGCTCAAAGGGTAAGAGAAAAGGGATGTTGTCCAAGCAGGGAGGCTGCTACCAGGAGGGTTTACCTTCCCTTTTCCCTTTCTACTCCACCTCCCGTGAGCCCAGCGCCACAGATTCCACCCTTGGCAAGCCGTAACTGGACCCCTTGATGTGGTGAGAGTAGATTGTGTGGCTGGGGGCTCCCTGCAGCAGTTGGTGGGACTGGATAGAAAGAGTGCAGTGCCAGCATCTATAAGGAAAAGAAGTTTCTAATGGGCAAAGGAAGGCAGCTGCTCCAAGGAATGAATGTGCCTAATGTGAGCATAAACTGGAGAGGCATTTATAAATCAGAGCCTCAAGAGATGAGAGACTGGAGAGAAGCCACAGCTGCAGGCAGCCCATCACCTGCACAGGTCCCCATCCTCCAGCCTTAAAGCACTTCTGAGGCTCCCCACCATCCACTCAGAAAAGTCCAGGCTCCTCAGCAGTCGGGCCTTCCCGTCCACGGCTCATCTCCCCTCCCCCACCTTCCCTGGGATCCTAATCCCCAGAATAGTGGCCCTCCTCCTGCAAAGTGTCCACCACCCCAGGCTGGCTAAATCCGGCTCCATCCCCAAGGTCCATCTTGACAGTGACCCAGTCCTGGGAGAGCTCCCCTAATGCCTCCAGCCGGCAACGCTAGCCAGACCTCCCCTCACCCGCCAATTACTGCAGTCAGGATACTACTACACCTGCAGTTTGCTAGCTCATGGGATGTTTGTGTGACCTGCAGGGACGAAAATGTTTTAAAACAGTTGCCAACATTAAAAAATTGGGCAACTTCACATAAAATTCTTAATGTATGGCTTCTCTTGAACATTATTTTTTTTTCATGTTTTATTCAAGTACTTTTATGGTTTCATTTTACTAATGTTTAGATTTCTTTTCTTATTGGTGTAGTGAATGAAGAATTTTTTTCCTCACATGGCTAACCCACTGTATTCTAGACACAAAACTTCCAACCAACTTCTAGATTTGAGTCTCAGTGTTGCAGTCTCACATTTAAATCGCACAGTAGCTGAGATCCTCTGATGCTCCAAGGCTAGTGGGAAACCAAATCTGCTTTAGCTTCATTCGGAGAGGAAAATGTTACCAGACCAGTGAGGAAGGAGCTCTACTACCCTGCCAAACCCTGAGGCTTCTGGGGAGAGCATGTGAGTGGAGACAAGGTCACGCTGGCCAACATGACTGCAGCAGAGGAAGGGTGAGGTGGAAACCTCAGAATCAGTCATCATGAATGTATTTCACCACAGACTCCACACAGGCTCAGACTATTCCTGCAAGAAGCCTGCCTCTGTCCCTTGTCTTATGGTGTAATGTGTGCCCTTGGCCCACTTCTTGCAATAAATGCTAGCTGGCCCTAGATGATCTCATCCTTCCCCAGGGCTTCAATGAGCATGACCGTGCAAATGACTTGCAAATTCTCAACTCCAGTCCTTCCACTGCCACTAAGCTCCACAGCTGCACTTCTGGCTGCCTGCAAGTCACTTCTACATGGGATCCCAAAGGCACCTTCACCTCAACATATCCTACCCCAAACTTAGGCTCCAAACTTCTCCTCCTGTGGTCTCTCAATAATTAATTACCTACACCAGTATCTTCCTAGTCACCCAGTCGTGAGATCACCATCAGCCTCCAAAATGTCCCGCAGAGGCACTCTCCTTTTCTCCTCTACCGCCACTGTCCAGTTAAGGCTCTCAGTGTCTGGCTAGGACTGCAACAAATTTCTAACATGTGTCCCCTTTCAATCTCCTTCCAACTCTTCCTTCAGAATACCTCCATGTGTCTGATGGGGGTCACTCCCAGCTAAGAAGTCCTGAGAGGTTCCCCACCACCTACAGCATAAAGTCCCAACTCCAAAAAATGGCATTCAAGGCCTTCCGCTGTTTACCTCAACTTCCCTTTCCTCTATTCCCACCATCCCCACCCCTCCCCCACTCACTCTACACTTGTATCACCCCGTTTCACGGACTTTTCACTTCTTCATGCTGTTCCATCTACCTGGGATGCCTGTTAACCTGTGGCCATCCTTCACCAGGATTCTGTCCACCAGCTGGACTGAATCTCTCCTTAGTCTCTAGACCTGTGCTATCCACTACTGTAGCCTCTGGCCACCTGTGGCTATTAAAGCTAATCCAAATGGAGATGCGCTCCAAGTGTAAAATGTACCCTGGATTTCAAAGATTTAGTACTTAAAAACATGTAAAGCATCTAATAATATTCTATACTGACTACCTGTTCAAATGATATTTCGAATATAATGGAGTAAAACATGTATTAATTTCACCTGCTTTCCACTTTCATTACTGTGGCCACTAGAAAATCTAAATTTACATATATGGCTCTCATTTTATTTCTATTGGACAGAGCTGCTCTAGATATTCTATATTCTATGAGCCTTCATTTACTCAGTCAACCAATAATTATGAGCACCTACTATGGGCCAAGTACTCTTACAGGCTCTGGAGATAAAGTGTGAACAAAACAAGGTCCCTGACCTTAGGGAGCTTCCTGTCTGCTGGGGAGGTAGCATTCTGGTGGTGGTTTATAAATGTATCCAATTCTAGATGACTTTGCTTAATATTGAGCACAAAGAACAAGTACTAACCACATTCTTTGTTCCTCTCATGCTCTCAGGTTCTCCCAAAGATGACATCACACGTGGTAAATGAGATCGATAACATATTGCGCAACAAGCCCTACAGCAAAAAGGACTATAGATCATAAGGCAGTGCATGAGCCGCAGGAGCTGCATGGGTAAAGCAGCAGTCTATACAGGTACAGAACGGTGTTACTAGCCAGTGTTCTGAATCACTTAGCAGCCCACTGCTCAACCTCTAGTGTCCCCGGATTCTGAGGTTTCTGCTGTCGCTACCACTGTGCACCTGAATTATGAACACATCTGAAAACTCACAACCAGGAAAATCCATTCTATTTTCTTATCTGGGACTGCAGTCACCTGTTCTTACATTGCTCTGTACATCTCATGTTTATGCAAAGGAAAGCATGTGGCGGGGGAAAGATATATTACCTTCAGGCATTTAGTAACTTAAAGAAGGTTGTACAGATATATTTTTTCAAATGAACAACATCCACAGATGCAATGTGGATTGCATCAGAAAGAGTAGGCTCTGTTCACTCCGAAGTCTTGCTTGAAAAATCAGCTGAAACAATTTTACATTTTTTTTTTCTATTTTCACATTCATGTTAGCAAGAGTTGTTTTCACTTGTCATTCAACAGAAGTGAAATGCCTAGGTATTTGCTTTCATTACCTTTTAAATATTTAGTGTTGCTTGGCCTCAAAAATGGCCCTGTATAGCAATTCCTCCAAGGTGGTCTATTAGGATTCTAATGTTATGTCCATTTACATGGAGAGATGGTAAAAGGATGAAGACCCTAGTCTTTAACCAGAGACAGTCTGGTTAACTTATGAAAGGGAGAATTACACTACTATGGAAGCCTAGCTTTGAATAAAATGTATCTGCAATGAAGTGTTCATTTTTACCTACATTTTCCTAAAACCTGCTTTATACTTTTGACTGCTTGTAGGCACAGCTTCTGCAAGTTTAAATATTTGAGCTTTAAAAATAAATATACACATGCTCAGTTTTGTAAGTAAATCTGTAAAATACCCAGAAAGGCAAATATTTGCTGTTTAATTAGCACTGGGATTTTACATGCTTGGTGTTTTTGAGAAGTTATTAACATGAAGGTGAATCATGGGCTTTGAGAAAAATGCTGTCACTACTCAGCATATGCTGGGTGAAGTAACTTGCCCAAAGAAAAGTAAATGTTAAAGAACTTCCTAATTCCATAATCACACTGTGTGCATTAAACTATATGCATGAAAGTTCTCTGCATGGATTAATGGGGCCTAGCCTTGTGGCACACAGAAGCTGAGGTATATCCCGCCCTGCCACTACTTGGCTCCCTACTCTCATGAATATATGACTTGAGAAAAACTGACAGTATACTGCGTGTACCTGTAAGGAGGGAGAAAACTTTTTTCCCCACTTTTAAGGTGTATGTAGAGGGGGGAGGATCCTCTATCTCTATTTGGACACCTGAGCATGTACGAAATTCTGATTTAATTTTCTGGCCAACAGGACCCCATGTAGAAACCACTGAGACTTACAGAAGAAATGTACTATTCAGCTTAAAATGCTATTTTCTGCCACCATTTCCAGATATGTATTTCATGATTAAGTTCTCAAACTTAAAATGTTAGTGTGAAGTACCAACAAATTTTCTTTTTGATTACTATTACCTGTATTCTAATAGGGAAACAGTGCGTTTTTTACCCAAGAGTATCAGATTAATGATGGAAATGGATCATTTTTCAGTTGTTCATTGTGCACTCTATCAATCCAGTATGCATAAGTGAGCTGAAGTTGTCTAATTGGAACTGCAGTTTATTTGCTTAGAGTAATAAAAGCATTTGTGCATTTAATCTCACAATTAGTTTTTATCTGATCTATCATTATAAGACTATATATGTATCATTATAGGAGATATATACACACACACACACACCCATCTTCATAAAACAGGCAGTAAGAATCACTTAAATAAAAATAATGTTGGGGGCTTCCCTGGTGGCGCAGTGGTTGAGAGTCCGCCTGCCGATGCAGGGGACACGGGTTCGTGCCCGGTCCGGGAAGATCCCACATGCCGCGGAGCAGCTGGGCCCGTGAGCCGTGGCCGCTGAGCCTGCGCGTTCAGAGCCTGTGCTGCGCAACGGGAGAGGCCACAGCAGTGAGAGGCCCGCGTACCGCAAAAAAAAAAAAAACGTTGGCAGGTAAGCTGCACTGAGTGATACCTAACAGAAATAGATTTATCAAAAGACTTAATTTGCAACCCAGACTTTTTTTCTCTTGTTAATGGAGAAAATGATTAGCTACTGGAGATATTTCTCCTTAGGTTTTAGATATGTTCTGTACTAAGGTTAAAGCTTCTCAAACTCATTTAAAAGAACCTGCAAATTAAAATCAAATACCAACGTTGCTTGGCCGTGGGAACATCTAGTTTTATATACAAATCATCTGCCATGGTAAATGTACTAGATAAATACATTTCACAGTTCTATCCTTACGAAAAATTTCCATGCACTCTCATTTTCTTTTCTTTTCTGGAAAGATTTCCTTGGCAGAGAACATACCATTCCAAAGGGTAACCTGGGTGGCAGCCAGCCACATACTGAAACCTCAGCCAAGAGAAATGAAAACTAGAAGCCCTGTGCCTGGCTTCCCACTTTAAGAACTGCCACTTCATCTTCATCCATAGTGTGCACCAAGGGTCACCAGATAGATGTCAGGGCTTCAAGGGGCCTTCGCCACCTTTGAGACCACCCCACTCCCTGCAAATGAGGAACCCAGGCCTGAAGAGATTAAAGGACTCGCCCAAACTCATACTGCAAGTTGATGGCAGAACCAGGCCTAGAACCCAAGTATTTTGTGTTCCAGTCCAGTGCTCTTTTAGGGGTGATTTTTTTTAGCTTTAAAGCTTTATGAAAAAGTAAGTGTGTGTGATTTTTTAAGTTAAAAAAACTTGGAAATGAATCCAAATTCAGGATCATTTAAGAAGAAGGAAAGGTCAAAGAAATGCAATGAAAACTCATGAAGGCCAATGAGAAGTTCATCTCTAACCACCTCCATGAAAATCAAACCAACCACCCAAAAGACCCGCCTAATCTTCAATGAATCCCCCTACTTGGGAGTCCAAGGAGGTGTGGGAGATAACCCCTTACAGCCCTTACAAGCATTTGATCAGTAACTACAAAAATGTGCATTTACATGCATGGGAAATTAATGGTTAACATGAAATAATGTAATAAAGATGATAAACTTAATCACACGGTTCTTATAAAGAAGTCTAGGGAAAATATAAATTTTACAAAGCAAAACTTAACGATACTCAATAAGCAAGACCTTTTGGGAATTCCCTGGCGGTCCAGCTGTTACGACTCTGTGCTTTCACTGCTGAGGGCGTGGGTTCAATCCCTGGTCAGGGAACTAAGATCCCACAAGCCGTGCGGTGTGACCAAAAAAAGAAAAAACTTAGTAAGACCTTTCATAAGAATTTTGGGTATAAAGCCAATCTCCACATTTGTTAACTTCAAACTTGCTTCAAATTATTCTATCCAAGTTAGAATAATATACCATATAGGTCAACCAGTAGATTTTTACTGGCTAAGAATAATTTCAACCCAATTATTAAGTTATAAATGAACTTCTAACTTATCACAAGGGGTGTAAAAACAGGAATTAAATCACTTTGAATCCCAATTACAGCAAAACCCCTTTTATTTTACTGGTGTTGGATAAGAGGCATTTTTTTGTTTTGTGTTTTTAGCGGTACGCGGGCCTCTCACTATTGTGGCCTCTCCCGTTGTGGAGCACAGGCTCCAGACGCGCAGGCTCAACGGCCACGGCTCACGGGCCCAGCAGCTCCGTGGCATGTGGGATCTTCCCAGACCGGGGCACGAACCCGTATCCCCTGCATCGGCAGGCGGACTCTCAACCACTGCGCCACCAGGGAAGCCCGATAAGAGGTATTTTTAAGATAAAAAGTCTCCAGCAGGCTTTTACTAAACTAAGCCAGATCCAGCACATCATAATTCTATGCGCTACACAGTCTTTCTAGGTGACACGGAGAGTGCTGGGGAAAAGGTTCCACAGCTCCTAAGAGTAAAGCACTGGTACAGTAAATCCTTAGTTAAAATTGCAGAACCATCAGAATATGTCTTAAGAACTTATATGTCAGAATTTATCTAACAGTATAGAAAGTTAGAAACTATTATCAGGATTAAAAAGTGCCATAGGAAAATTTCAGGACCAAAACCAAATTTTGCTTCCTCACTTTTCTACAAATTATTCAGTTTATTAACTCAAGAGGCACTCTATTAAGAACGTCACACTGATGCCCCTATTTTGCCACCCCATCTCAGGTATACTGTATTATAAGAATTTTTTTCCCATCTATACAGGCACTGCCACCTAGTGGCAATTTTTTACCTGCAAGTTAAAAATTACAGGTAAAAAATTACTTGACCCAGCTCTGGTAACAAACGGTAGACATTGATCGTTTGTCAAATAGTCATTTTGTCAAATAAGCAAATGCAATTGGTACGAACGCCACGCCACCAAACTACTGACCAGTTATTAATCAACAGAAAAAAAAAGTTAAAACATAATAAAAATAAACTTCTTATGTGCTACACTAACTACTATGCAGGGTCTTTCTTCTGACTTCCCCATTAACCCCTTATTACCCAGTGGTGGCACATGGATAACAATGTACCAGAGAAAAGTAAAGAACTGCAGACTTCTAAAAGCAATGATGAAATCTAATCCTCAGTTGAAGATAATGATGATCTGGGTCACTAGGCAAACGTACTCCTGGCCTGTCTTCCTTCCAGGTTCTTAGATGTGACTTCCCAAAACATCCAACAGCATGGAATTGGAAGATGGACTCCTGGTGAATATCTTTCTATAGTTATAAATGGTGAATATTATTTGCAACATTCACCTTAAATTTAGAAGTGGAAACCAAACATTAAAGTTAACATTAGCCATTGGGAATATATTTCCTTTAAGATATTGTTTGTAGAAAAGTACTGGATGTGGTCAAAAGCTGACAGGAATTATCACCTGTGAGTCCATAACCTTTTAAGTGATGTAGGTTCAAGAAGAGTTTCCCAAACTTTTTCAAATCGTGGCACATAGAAAAAAATAATTACCTGTAAACAAACTGGTTAAAAAATGCAAGAGACTGCTCTTGGCTGGACCCACAAGGTCTAAAGAGATCAATATTTTGTTTACAATTGATAGGAACCTTTGGACTAAAGGGTCAAATTTACGAAAAGTCCTCATGGAAAAATGCTGACCAGCACCAAAACCACTGTAATTTCTTGGAGAGTTCTTAGAATTCCAGAACTAAGATCACAAAAATTACTTTGTTCTTTTACACATCAATATTCAGGAAAGAGCTTCTCTTATTGAACATTCCTCCAGTGATGTGAGACCCTGGTCAAGAGAGAACAATGATTCCATTCTCTTAATAGGTCAAGCCAACATGGTAGGGTCAAGCTAACTTCCCTGGACACCCAGGACCAAAGCTATAGAGCTGAACAGTGTGTACTTTAATAACCACATAGGACAACTCTCATATGCCTAGGCACTATTTTTAGATTATTACCTTGGCTGCCTTTCTTCCTTTAAAAAAAAAAAAAGAACAACTTTTCCACAAGTTTCTCTTCTCCAAGTTGGAGAAACTAATGTTTTAACTTTGAGTTATTTCAAATCACAAATTCAGAGACTTGCAAACATGAAGCTTCTGTTCAATCCCCCAGAGGGAGAGGACTCATTCTGATATTTGTGGTTCAAAAAAAAGTTGTAATATTGTGCTTGGAACACACAGAACCAATTATTAACTTCTTGCTACTATTATAAATAATAACAGCTCAGTCCAGGTTACTGTGACCTCTGACAAGTCAAGGAAACAAGTTATTTTCTCCCCTTGTGATTATAACATATTGCAACACTTTTGCCTTTTAATAAATGTCCTGGTACTCTTGAGTTTCCCTTTCAATTCATTTAATTTCAACAATCTGTCAAAAAAAAAAAAAAAGAGCCAATAAACAAATATTGAATTACATTTTGTTGGGTTTTTCAAACCCTCAAACTCCAGACTTACAAGAACAGCTTGTGTGTCTTCCACCCTGACCACCCTGCTACTTTTCCATATACCACAGGCCACCCATAGACACAAAGCCAGGGCGGTGGAGGGAAGCTGACGTGCTCTACTTGGAGCCAGTAGACAGGAGGGCGATGAGGCCCGACGAAGCACTTATGGACAAAATGTAGTTCCTGTAAGAATTTAATGTTAAGGAAAAATCAACCCCAAATTGGTTTTCAACAAAACAAAAAGAACCCATCTCTTTGGAATGTACTGTTTCCCTCCTGCCGCTGTCTAATGACAATAATGTGCAGTCCCAATGTCTGAAAATGCAATTTACAAGAGAGGAGATTATAAAGAATGAAGAACATTCACAGGAAATGTGTTCCAATTTTAAAAAGAAAACACTTGAGACAGAAACCTAGAACACATGATCACAAATAAAACATGTGAATTCCATTTAACCTGCAGGAAACGAACTGATCAAAGAACATGGGGAGGAAGAAGGGACTTGATTTCCCCAACCCCCCAACCCCCACATCAAGAGCAAAGGAAAAATAAGTCTTCCCTGTCTATCAGTGTTTTGGCTACAACTAGCCTGTAAAAGCAAGGAGGTTGAAAGTCTGCAGCCACTCTCACCCTCAGGACTAGAGTGTTTGGGGCACACCACCCCAGTATTCCCAGGAGATACAAGTTGGAGGGTGTCTGATATTTTATTACATCAAAATCTCCAATGGTTAAAAGTTTGGCTGCACATTCCTGGATAATACCTTTAATAA